TTATACTAAATAATACTAGCAACGATAATTAATATTTAAGAATTGAGTAAATTCAGTATCTTCTTTCAAATTTCATTCAAAGATATTTGCAATTCTTTTTTATGAGAAATTAAATTATTGTTTTATAAGCGATACGTTGTTATCATCAGTGATAATTAACATTTCAAAATTGGGCAAATTCAGCGCCTTGTTTCAAATTTAATTTCAAACTATTCGCAATTCTTCTTTATGAGAAATTAAATTATCGTTTTATAAGTTCATTAATTCTATGAGAATTTTACATAAATGGATTAACAATGTCAAGCTAAATAATAGAAGTAATTATTCTTATTGATATTAATAATAAAAAATTTTAAATTTGACAAATTCAGTGTCTTATTTCAAATTTAATTCGAAGCTGTTTGCAATCGTTCTTTGCGAGAAATTAAATCACTGTTTTATGGATAATAACAATGTTAATTAAGCGAGGTAATTACGATTATTAGTTGGGAATTGATTTTGTGAATTCAGAGGGTTCTATTGTTTTCAGTACAGTGCATAGCGAATTCAACGATCGGGGGTTGTTGCGGTCGAGCCTAGCGTGTACGGTAGCGCTTACTGAATTAATAAGTTGTTCTTCGATTGTAACAGAAATGTTTGCGGAAGAGACGTGTTAATGGAAAACATAGTTGCATAGAAATTTCACCTAGAAATGTTTGTAAATTTTTAGTAATTACACCGATCGATAATATAAATAAATTCACTTTTTACATCGCTGATGGCCAATGATTAATTAAGAGCAGTTTCTCCTTCTTGAAAAATAATTGTGCATTTTGATGACAACGAAAGTAATGTTTCGTGCACCGTGCTTAATTAATGGAATACCGAGCTCGTTAACGGAGAAGATACCGAGGTAATATTTACTCCTATCGCCGGAGGGTTGTTAGTTATAATTAATTTCGAGGATGTTACCCAGGTGAATCGTCTCGTTCGACGTCCTCTAAATTTTTAATCTACCGAAGGAAACTCCTTCCTAAACGTACACACTTGCAAATGAAACATATTCCGATAATTCATCTCGAAGATGTCACTCGTGTCTAAATTTTGAATCAACCTAAAGGAACTCTTTCAAGTAAAATTCTACGTTGTTTCAATTGAAGCATATTCGAAGAATATGTCACGAACGATTGAATTGACAAAAATGAAAATGAACGCGTGTATACTCGAACCTTGAAACGAGCATTTCGGACGAGGTTCATTTCGAGCCACTTAATTACAACATTTCCAGGCTTTTATTGTTAATTGCAGCTATCGCTTCGGAATTATCGAGCCGCTTGACTCGATTATTTGCAAACTCTCTTCCTGAATTCGATTGACGATCATAGTAATTGAAATTACGAAGGCTTAACCGGTTCAACGAGTCCTCGTTACGTATTCATGAATTCCCCCTAATCAATACCCCGAATCACAAATTAACCGTCGAATGTAACACACTGTACTCCGCAATTTCTAAACAATAAAACATTCGCAACCGTTTAAACCCACTGGATCTCGAAGAAGAGAACAGAAAAGCTTGAACTCGGTGAAACGTAGCGGAAGATACGGTGACAGAAAAGGACGCACAACTTCAAACACACTTGTCAAGATAGGTTAATCGTGATCAAACGGGTAATCTCCATTTTCTGATGCACGAGTGACACGACTACCCTTCCAGATCTTTCGACTTCCAGCGGTATAACGTACGTGTACATAGAGAAACGGATCCAATACGCAACAGATAGCAGAGGGAAAACGTAAAACCACGTTATTTCTCGTTCCCTTTTCTCCTGTCTCGTCCGTTTGACCTAGATATCTGACAATTTCCGCGGACTAATTATGCAGAAAGCAGTCGTGCAGGCAGGCAGGCAGGCGAGCTTTGCGAACGCGGCCTAAAATTTTTACATAATCGTCGAAAGGGCGGACCAACCCAGGGGGGTGACTTTGTTGCTCGTCAAAGTTGCATGCCGCGGCGCGCATTATACCCCGGGTCGCGTCTCTGAAATTTAAAGTGTCCTTGAATTTTTCACCACGAACCCGAACCCAGCGAGATCCTGCCGCGGTTACGTTATCAACTCGTTCTTTGGTAGTCGGGACCGTCGTCGAAGTTAGTATACCGAGTTCGAGTTAACCGTTTGAGGATGGAGAATTAATGTATAGCCGGTGGAAGGGATGTAGCGAGGTCGTGCATTAGAGCGTTAAATGGCCACGCCCACTGACGTAGCCACGCCCAGTGATGTGCGTCATTTGTGAATTGATTTTTGAAATTTCTGCTCGGAATCTTTGGATGTTCAGTGCTCGGTTAAATTGAACTGACATATTTCTACTTTCCTCCTGTCATTCGGTGCCTCGAGCTCGATAAACTTAAACACGTTGATAAGGAAAGTGAATGGTGAGCTTCAGTAATGCTCGGTTAAATTGAAATGAAGTTTGCTCGGTTAAATTGAACCGAACCATCCCCACTCTTCTTCTACCACTCATTGACAGTGTCTCAAACTCAGTAAACTTAAACATATCGAGAAGGAAAGTGAATAGTGAGTTTCAGTAATGCTCGGTTAAATTGAAGTCTGCTCGGTTAAATTGAACTGACGTATCCCCACTTCTCTCCTACCACTCAGTGACTAGATCTCGGTAAACTTAAACATATCGAGAAGGAAAGTGAATAGTGAGCATCAGTAATGCTCGGTTAAATTGAACCGAACCATCCCCACTCTTCCCCCACCACTCGGTGCCTCAACCTCAGCAAACTTAGACACATAGACAAGAAAAGTGAATAGTGAAGCATAGTGAGATTAAGCGAGTCAACATCAAAAATTTCAATTTCCATAATTTTCCTCCTATCTTCATAAAAATGGTATCAACGAATTACTAAAATTCTCCCAATGGAAATGAATCCAAACACGACACAAATCCACTTTCGTTGATTTCCTGATTTTTAACATCATCCTGTGACAAAAAGGGAGTACTTCAATCTGTCATACTTAAAAAAAGAGAACAACCTCTCAAATTCAAAGATACAAGCCTATACAGTTTCACGTTTTCAACTTCAAACTTACTATAAAAAACAGAAAATGTGACGTATATGTATTTCTCTCCTGCGGTCTTCGTATCGAGGTTACATGTGCTTACACGAGTTGGTGACCACACCAACTATTTGTGTTGCTGAAAAATACGAGTGTACTGGTCGCGTTCGTACTCTTTCGTGGACGAGTACGCGCGCACCTATACGCGTCCATCGTCCTCAAAGGGTTAATTTCGAAACATGGCTACTTTCGTTGCTTGCTTATGCTCCGTGTGCGTTGCTGCACCGGTGAAATGTGTAACGGCGTGCTGTACGGAGCGCCGAGACAAGGATAAGCTTGTAGTCGTTAGTGGGGGTTTAATAATGGCGGTATTTATAGTGAACATCGAGGGGCGTCGTCGATAATTTTATCGCGATATAACGGATTATTTCCTGATTGTTTTCCGTGGACGGAAACAGGTTTGTTGAATGATAATTGTACCGAAGAGCGTATTTGTGGAGTTGTTTAGACAAGGAGTAATACAGGCTGTTTCTAAACAATTTTACTACTTGTACGGAGAATTTGTTTGAAAATTTCGAGAATGTGAAGCAAGTGAAGACACTTCGACGACAAAATACATTTGTAACATGTGTTAACATTTTTTTTTTTTTTTAACCGCCTTCTATACGGAGTTTCTTTTTTTTTTATTCCTCTGTAAGAGGAACGATACTTTAAAGAAAGGTAAGTGGAGATGATTCAGTTTCAAAGTTGGCGAAACCAGATTTATGGATCGAATGATGAAAATTCTTTTAAATGTTGTTTTTGTGACACACAACATACGTTCACATTTTATTCTACGAAATACTACCACGCATTTATAAATCACTTTACACGATCAAACAACAAGTACAACACCTCTACTCTTCGGTAGATGAAGAATCATCACTCTGTACAATGAGCATGACAGCGTCTACAAAAGCTCGCTTATCTCGATGTCGTCTAACTGTTACGATTCGTGAATTCGATGTAACGTGTAATCGTTGGACAGCGGATTTTTATGCGTTTATGGAAAAAGTTAGAGATAAAAATACACAGAATGCACATAATAAGTAAAAATATATAAATAAACCTAAAATATAGTACTTATTGGGATATTTATCTAGCTTCTATACTTTTAATTATATTCATGAAAATATGAATTTGCATAAAAATCCGCAGTCTAGTAATCATTAAGTAAACTGTGCAGTTTTTTGATTCCTCTTGGAAGGAGCAACGCTGCTTCCAAATATGACGCGATCAAGTTCGAAATTCGGGGATATTTTCTTTCTTTTCCTATTCTAAGAATATATTGATAATTATTGTGAAGAAATGAAGACTTTTTGAAGCTTCCTTCTTTCCTTCGCGAAAGATAAGAAAATTCCAAGAATACGTTGATAACGATTGCGAAGAAATGAAAATTTTTTGGTTTCCTTCTTTCCTTCGCAAAAGATGAGAAACTTCAAAGAGTATATTCGTAATGATTGCGAAGAAATGAAATTGTTTGAATTTTCCTTCTTTCCTTTGCAAAAAATAAGAAAATTCCAAAAATATATCGATAACGATTGCGAAGAAATGAACATTTTTTGAAGTTTCCTTTCCTTCATAAAAAATAAGGAAATTCCAAAAATATATCGATAACGATTGCGAAGAAATGAACATTTTTTGGTTTCCTTCTTTCCTTCGCAAAAGATAAGAAAATTCCAAATTGATAACGATTGCGAAGAAACGAAGGCTTTTCCAAGATAAAGTAAATCAATTTTTTAAGATAAAAATTCGCTAATATCCTCGAAACTAGATTCGCTACTATTCCTGATCCCCGGAACACCGGGAGCGTGCATTGTTCGCGTCGTAATGGAATTTCTGTAGAGGAATTAACGTCAGCTGCAACAGCGTACCGGCGATATCGAAGTGTCAGTGCTGTAATCGAGTGTCTTGCTGTTTCAGAGGGAGGGAAGAGGGTGGAACGAGTGGGGGTCACCGCGAGCCCCGATCAACGCCCGATTGGGGTCCCGGTGCACTTAATGGAGAACATCTTTGGGTGCCGACGTCAGCTTCCGGTGATTTCTGTTACGTCAACGACTGTTCGGTAAGTGTTACCTCACAAACAACTCTTCTCCAACCGCAATTTCCAACAGATAACAAAGAACCGCGTTGATATTACAAAATCGTCAGGCTCAGCTGTATAATTCTATTCTACCCGCGTGCCAGATTTAAATCGCCAGTCGGAGAGTTGATAGATTGATTTACTCTCTCGGAAAGAAATATCGGAAATTAAACTGGCGTTTTCTTTCCACGATTTTCAACGCATAATTTACGCAGTTTTCAAACGGAGATAACTATTTTCGGTTAAGCTTGAAAGTAGGAAGAATTTATGGAAGGCTTAAGTGGCTTTGAGAAAAGCAAGAGAAGGGAGGGAGATAAATTTCACCTACCAACCTAAAGATTCATAGCACCTCGATCTCGGTGATTCTTTATTCTCTTTACCGAAAGTGATTTATTTCTACAATTTATTGTTCCCGTTTACCTACGGTAACTTCAACGCTGCGTTAAACGCAGACGGTAGAACTTACGAGAATATCGAAAACTCGATATCCTATAAATAATGGAGAACAGTTTCATGCGTAAACATACGGCCCGGCTTGGAAATGAACCAAATGTAAAAGCACGTCCATCGATCCGTCACGATTGCAAACGACAGTATCATCCTCGATGACCGTTACGACCAAGGAATCCGTTATCTACCGCGATGGCTTCATTTGTAGATCAATTATCCGGCAAACGAACCGGCTGTATTCGAATCTCTGGCCGACAATTCAATCGGTGCATTATTGTCTCTCCTGCACATTGTTTCTGCTGAATCGTGACACAAATCCTTCTCGATACGTTTCCTATCCGGTGTAACGACGAAGAAAAGAATACTCCGCTCGAAACGGTGTATAATAATCTCTCGAACAGCGAAATCATTATAAGCGTGTAATTTGTGTATAATTTAGATGGAAAATTAGCGGGATGATTAAATTTTAATTTACGTGGAAAATTACGAGGAGCGTTTAAATTTTTTTCGGATAAATAAGGAGAATGCTATCGATAACTATAATTTGCCCTCGACTCGTCATCCTACAGTGGGTGATCGAATGTACTAGGGTGGATTGGAAAGTTCACGGCCTAAGTATGAAGGATTGCAGCTAAGTGTTTGTAATTTTTACCGAATAATATGTAATTAATTGTGTACTAATGTATACAGTTTCGTGTCTCTGTCGTGCCTCGCAAGTAGAGGTATTTGCAGTAGATGGAGTAGAGATGGACAAAATTAGAAAACGAACAGCGATCCAATACCTGAAGATAAAGGACCTCACTTCGAAGATCATTCAAGGACCTTGCGAAAATTATTCCTTGCGAAAATCATTCAAGGTCCTTGCGGTGATGTCCTTTGTCACCAGGTACTGGATCATTCCTCGCTTCTATTCGTCTCTTCTCCGTCTCTGTAAACACCCCTACGTCACCAGCTGTAAAAGAGAGCCACGAAACTTCGTACGTCGGTACACAAATGATCACAGATTACACCGTAGAAATTGCAAGCACCTAGCAGCAGTTCAGTCCACCCTCGTATGAAGTTTGAACAAGAATGGAATTGAAAATACACTTAAAATGAAACCTTTTCTTTTTTTTATTACACAGTGTATTCTCACGTTTGTAATAACATTTCAAGAGAATTGTAAAATTTCTAGGAATTGTTGAAAATTTTCGTTAGAACGACAAGAGATTATCATTCCTTATGTCGGACGGCACCGCTATCATTTTTACTTTTTCCGTCGCCGTGTGGTCGACGAACGTTCAGTTCACTTAAGTGGGTTTCTCAGGCCTTTTTTGCTAATTTATTACACAAGTTCAGTAACAGTTATTGACATGAGCTTCATTCCTACGTAATCACTCGTTCTTGAAGAACGACTACAAATTTTTTTGTTGAAAAATAACTAAATATGGCTGCTGCGGAACACGTCAAACATGAAGAAAAAAAGTACGTTGACGGTTGCCATGATTCGAGCCGTTCTGCTTATCTGAATTAAAAACAAAAAGTCCTTCGTTTCTCTCTGTCATCGCGTCGTGTTCACTTCGCTCTAACCGCGCTTTCTCAGTTCTAAGAAACTTGCTACATTCGAAAAGGTGTCCTCTGCCTTGAACAATTTTCAAAAATACACATATCAATATTTCGTCAAGCCGTCATTCCCACTTACAATTGCTCGAACGCGTCTCGGCGTACTTTCCATACTTTTTCCGCAGATTTCCTTTATTCCTGCGTCATAACGCTTCTAAAATGTCACTTGCTGTTTATTAGTTATCATTTCTGAGGCAACACCACGTTTCAATCGTTCCCGTAGGTTTTCATTTGAACCTTTCTTCTTAGGTAGACGAAAGCTGTCAAAATATACGATCAAATCGTCTGTCTACGTCTTAAGTGCAGAACCGAAGGATATATTTGACTATTATCGAAAACATCAGACGCGATCGTAATAATTGGATCACTCGCTGTAATTTGCAAGACTCTGTTTGGAAGTCGGGTGTACCGCGGCGACGAGCAATTAACGTTACGTCACTAGCGTAGTTTATTTACCTGGTATCTTCCATTCAGGAGTTATTACGAGCAGAGAAAGAGAAGAGGAAAAAGGGGACTTACGTAAGGAGAAGGAAGGTTGTTCTTGTCGTAGTACGCCTTTTGTTCGCTTCTAAGATGAGGTAAATCATTCAGATCCGTGGGGAAAGTTTACCATTCGAGGTATCTACAATGGATTCCGGTTAATTGGGACGCCGGTTCAGCGGGACCACGGTTCATTTGGCACAGATACTGAACAACGGAATATAAATACGTGTTTATTTACTTATTTTTCGTTACTTACTAATGTTATTTTATTACTTATTGTTAGCTTTGTTTGCATGCTTAACCCGTCGACTACGAATACAGCTAATCACAAAATTGAGTGTACACGCATATTAGACGTATGTTTATTTAGAGAATAGAGTAATAACGTAACTTTTTGTCATGAAATTTTTTTATTTGTGTAATATATTCCTTTAAATGAAAAAATATTGGACAAAATTTTTTAAATATACAATGCTACGTATATACTTAAATGTATAATGCACGGCGAATTGTACCCTCTGACACAGATTTATCAAGTCTTGAGGAAACATCTACTGTTAATTTTGGTACACTGGTATTAGGTTTAATTTTAATTTGTCGCACAATACATATATCGTTCGTCGTATTCGGAAAGAATTTTCCTTCTCCCTCGACTGCTTCTATTTTGTAGTGTACCTTCGTATCTAAATTTATTAATTATTTTATGTACAGTAGAATGAGTTCTACCAATTATACTGCCGATTTCCCGAAATTAACAATAATTTGACGAACAGAAACGTCTGTTTCCTTTCTTTCCGGAGCCATTGTTGTACCTGACGCAAAATAACAAACGAAGATTAACACAATGGACGTAATGTGTTCTGCGATGTTGCGTAGTAGTCTTTCTATAATAAAATTGGATAATAAATGCACAACAACATTCAGTTTTAGGGGATTCCCATTCTGTACGCTCAATTATGCGTTGGTAAAATCGTTGCATGTTTAGAAACAATAAAGAAAAAAAACTAGTTTACTTTTTCTTTTCAATTTTTTTAGCAATCGAATTTAAACAGTAGTACAATAAAGGTAAATATTTAAGTATTTAAATTTACTAATTATTGCAATTTTCTTTGCTATATGTTAAGAAATACAGGGTGTCTCGTAACTTCTCGAACACCCGGAAATGGAGGGTTGCTGGGGTGACTCTGAACAACTTTTTCCTTTACCAAAATGTTGTTTGAAGCTTCATTTTTGAATTATTAAGGAAAAACATTGGCCAATCAGAGCGCGCGTAGAGCCCGCGCTCAGGGACGGGCGAACAGGGATTCACCCGCGGGCTATCGTGAACGACGCGTACGCGTGACTTCTCGGTTATCGATCGCTGTCAAAAAAATTTCACTTTGCACCGCTATTTTTATAAGGCCTAGAGAAATGGTTTTTTGCCGTCATTCCGACGTTTGTATAAATTTTTTGAAAAAACTGCAATTAGTCGGAATAGCGAAGAAAATAGCGAAGGTCGTTTTTACAAAATCTAAAAAATACGGATGAGCCTCTGTTCTCCGTCCCTGAGCGCGGGCTCTACGCGTTTTTCCTTAATAATTCAAAAACGAAGCTTCAACAAACATTTTGGTAAAGGAAAAAGTTGTTCAGAGTCACCCCAGCAACCCCCCATTTCCGGGTGTTCGAGGAGTTACGGGACACCCTGTATAGATTCAATACGAGTGTACACTCAATTCTGCGACTAACTGTATACGCTCTCACAAGTCTGCCAATGTATGTATACGAAAGACGTAAATATACGCCCTCTTCATTTTTCTTACTGTAAAACCTTATTTTATTTTTTTATTTTGGTCAATGAGCATAACGATGTGCGACTGACATACAAATATCGCGCCGTCTATATTGATGGTTCTGTGCGAATGTGCGCCGCAGTCAAAGGGTTAAACACACATTTGTATTCAAGACCGAATATTGCATACGTTTTTAGCTTCATTTTTTACGTTGTTCAGATTTTGCCCGTTGAAATTCGCTTTTTTGGGACCGCTGCTTAATTGGGACAAATCAGTGCGGTCCCAATGTGTCCCAATTAACCGGAATCCACTGTAATTAGCGGAGGCGAACATTTTGTCTTCCGAATTGTCTATAGAGCTTTCTCTCTGTCGAACGATATTATTCTCTTGCAGAGCCCTCTTTGTTGTAATATGAAAAGAGATCGGAAAGCGGGTGATTAATCCGATATGATTTCTTCCTTTTGTCTATTTTACCGTTGAAATTGAAGAAAAGGATTTCTAATTGCGAAGTTCAGGAATTGGGTTCAGTAGCGTTGTGCTAGAGAATCGTTCAAATTTTGTAAATTTCTGACGACGAATCTTTAGTTTTTCTATGACAAATCTGAGATGATTTCTTCTTCCGTCTATTTCTCTCTTGAAATTGAAGAAAAGGCTTTTTAATTGTAATCTTCGAAACTT